CATTATCACAGAATTTACTCATTAATCAAAATTAATGTCCGGTGTTTATAACAGAATCGCATTATTACTTTTAAATTGTGAGTTTTGTTATCAAAATTATAATAATAGATGACAAATATATTAAAATTTCAATTTATAACCAAAATAAAACTTTTCAAACTGTCTTTAACAGCAAAATCTCAATTCAAAATTTAATCCAACTATAGATCGCCTAAAATAATATATTTTCAGCGTTTTTATCAACAAATAATTTGTTTTAAAAAACGTTTTAAAGTAAATGGAGTAAAATTTATAGTAAATTAAATGCTATTATGAAATTATAAAATAGGAAACCACTAATTAAAATCATTTGATCAACATTTTAATCTAAATACTTAAAACAAAGAAAGTAATTATAAATATGATTAAATTGTAAAAATATTCTTAAAACTCACCGCCAAAACCATTATGACAGGCGATGGCAATCCAGGCCATAGCCAGCGCCCAGAATAGTCTGAATGTTCCGGCATATAGTGTCGATATAACTATATTAGGGGGTGTGTCGGCACTATTCCAGGGCCACGTGCCGAACACCTCCAGCAATATGATTGAGATCGAGCTGAACCAACCGATCAGCACAAGTCGTTTTGGCATTTTTATGTGCGAGTATTTGTCGAGAAGATATCCCGTCAACATTCCCACCATATAAGGGGTCGCGTGGGGGTAGNTTTTATGTGCGAGTATTTGTCGAGAAGATATCCCGTCAACATTCCCACCATATAAGGGGTCGCGTGGGGGTAGGGCTTCACGAACAGCAGGTTTCCGTACAGTCGACGAGCGCTAGTTATGGCGATATTAAAGCAATTATTTATAACAATCAAAGACTGGCCATTTGGCTCATCACATACGATGGGTCCGGATTGTTGAACAACAAAGTTGGCGGTAATTCCTGTTTAGTTGTTATATAAAAGACGTTAATGTATTAATTTTATCCAATTAAATGAATTATTAAATACTAAAACACTTGATATTTAGATAATATTTAGTAAAATCCAATTGATATAATTGTACAGTACGTGCGATATTCTGTGCGATTCTTGCCTTTCATTTATTTAATATACAATTATTATTAATATAACAGAGTATTCTGCTATCGAAAACACTAAAACCTATTAAATATAATTTATATACAGTGTATAAAGAATTAATTTTATAAATAAAGTAATATAAAAATACTTATATTAAAAACAAGGTTTACAAGTGATGCCATGCGTTAATCACAATTTGAGAACTGCATCAAATATTTTGAAATGTTCATTATTTTTGTTTGAATACTTTCACTTTATGTCATTTTTGAGAATTTTAACAAATTGTTTTTGACAACAATTAGTTTGATTTAATTTGTAAGATTCGTTTAATATATTTATCGAAAAAGCATTATCCCATTGAAATAACTTTACTTTCATATACCTAACATTACCTATAGACTTAGCATTGCCATAGACTTAGCATTACCAATGTTAAACCTATGTCTTAAGCTACTCCATAGAGACCCATGTAAAAAGCAATTTCCCATAGTAAAAGTGTTCCCTATGCCATCCTATGAGAGTCTCCCCCATGTTAAAGAGCCATAGGATTAATATAGGATCCCATGTTATTTCCCATAGGGTGGGAGAGGGGGTAGCGTCGTGATACTATAAGCCACATTCTTCGTATATGAATTGTGGTTAATAATTTAATAATCACAATATTTATACTAAATTATCATAAAATAGATTCAAATTTTGATTGTCTGTACGGTTTAATAAACATGGAATCCGTTTATTGTAATTACTGTATATGTGTTTACTGTTAAAAGTTAGTTTTATGTAAAGTTTATATTACAAACAAATACAATTTAAAGCTTTCATATGATTGAGTGTAAGTATAAGTGATTTGTTCATTGGATGATAAAACACTTAATTGAAATCCTATTTGTTTATCTGTATTAACTAATAAAACAAAGTTTTTGTATTAAACTTAATGTCTTTACTGCTAATAACGCATGAATTGATTTTGAATTAAATATTTACTCAAATCTCAATGAGTTTCTCTTATTATTATAAATGGTTTAAGTTTTTAGGAAATGACACGAAATCATTCGTACGAAACGGATATGAATGGCTTCAATACACAACTAATCAATTGTTAATTACAAACACAATAAAATGTTTATAATAAAAGCTTACCTCTAAATATGTGACAATACATGTGCTTATAATCGATATACTAATTGTAATCATTAGTAAAATTTGCCCAAAATATGCATTTCTGTAAATCCAATACACAATTACATAAACTATTTTCTATAATATACCGTTAAGTTTGTGCATTCAATGCATTAAAAACAAACAATATAATAAATAATGTGAATTGTTTTATAATACCTGTGCAAACATATTAGAAATATTGGAGTGATAATAAAGAGCTGCATATCGGCCGAGATATACCATAAGTGCAGAAAACACTATAAGATTAATGAATAGGAAGACATGGTTTAATAATTTATGTTTTGTTTTCTCTATCATCTAAATGCCAAAGAATTGATGGCATTTTTGCCATTTATTTTTTGTGCCAATAATTACCATATCTTTGCCTTTAATAAAATTGCTGACATATAGCGCATGTGTCCACCAATTGTCTCGGCATTTATCTGCTGTTGGATATATGAGTTCCTGCCAGAGGGGACCGTTGCCCATACGATACGCCAGTAAAAACATCACGATTAACAGCATTATGGCTGACCATTCCGTACCATATCATTCAATTCAAACAACCATTAAAATAAAAATAAATTATTAATGCATATACAAAATGTGTATTTTGCACATTAAACTAGTTATAATTAATTTGTTAATATCCATCATAAAACTCTCTTTATAACTTGGCTAAGTTTTTATTCATTACATAATAAAATAAGTTCATAATAAAATTCAGTATTTGTATGTTAGATAATATTATGCAATAGTATCTCAAACCTGGAGTAAGTCTAATATAGCGATGAATGTAAAACGAGATCCAAGTCTTGAGATTCCAATTGGAAAGTGTTTTCATTTTCTTGAGTGTATTGTAAGCGACGAGAACTCCGCTGAGGAAGAAGAAGGTCTCGATGGCGAGGGAGGCGTTGAGTATTGTCTGGAATAGAAAGCCTTTGGGCAGCTGTGTTGTGGTGACGAGTCTGCCGGTGGCCCTGAAGTCCAGAGTCATGTATGTGTGGGCAATCATTATCCATATAAGACTAATCACTTTCATGCCGTTCAACGACCGTATCATATGGTCGGGCGCTTTGGTCGACAAAATGATGGCACTGTTAGCGCATACAGAGAAAGAGGCGCAACAGTTGGACACAAACGACGAGACCTTTTTCAAGTCATCGACAGCTGCCGTACGGCTCAGTATGTCATACACTGTGGACGCGGCGATCATTACCAGTAATACGGATATAATGAAGAGAGGAATAATTTGATTGTCATCCAGACTGAAGAATGTCGACTGTTTTACGTCACAACTTTGAACGGTTACGTTCACACGAAACCTGTGCGATACTACCGGTGACCACAACAACATAAAATTATCCGTTAATATAATGCATGTTTACCATTATGTTTAATCACTTACTTCTCTTAGTGATTAAATGGAGATCATTGAGTGTACAACTGGCCGGAAGACATATACCCAGCCGTAGTTTCAGGTAATAGAATAGGGGAGCGATTCGTGCGAAATGGTGTTCCTATAGGCATATCATGAGAGAGAGAGAGAGAGAGAGAGAGAGAGAGAGAGATTTGTAAATCATTTTCCAAATAATTTATTCAAAACTATTTGCAAGTTTAAGGAATATTTCAAACTTTTCTAAACTATTTATACAAATGACCCACAATTTTGAGAGAGAGAGAGAGAGAGAGAGAGAGATTCTGTGATGAATACTGTTGTTAATAATGATGGTAAAAATTGAATGAATACTTTGGCAAATCCTTTAGCGTCTGCGGCGTCGTTGAACTCCTTTTCGACGGAATCGAGCGGTGGTTTTGGCGGCAGATATGGCCTGACATTAATGGCACAGTACTGTCCTTTAGTGCTCTCCTCATTCTGTTCCTCACCTATTCGTGACTCCAGACAATCGTCATAAGAGCCCAATGCAGTCAAAGTACCCCCGAGTATACCGTCCGGCACTTTACCGCTCGAGTCTAATACTGTTTAATAAATAATAAATAAATTTCTAGCATTTTAATTTTAAGCATTTAAATTTAATTAATGTTTAAAGTCTATCATTTTCACACATATTTATTATAATCACTGCATTTCAAATGCAATAAAAGATTTGATTTATTTGCCGATTAATATATGGAAAGATCAATAATAAGTGTTTATTATTAAATGCTAACTAATCAGTAATCTTTTAAATGCTTTAAACTTTTAGTTTTAATTGAATTATTTTAATTGATTTGTGTGACTGAATATCAAATATGAAATCGTTTAAAAAACATAATTTCAAGTTTGTATTCAACACATCGAACGGCATTTAAACTGTAAACCAGTTTATATCAAATAATTTATTTCAAGTGCACTCATGAATGCATAAATTATTTCGTTTTTATTTCTGTAATTATATACAAATCTAAACGTAGAAAAACAGTATTTAAATAAATAAGTGGAAAAATGCTTACAAATCAATAGCAGAGCAAATGCTAGTCTCGAGAGAAATACAGTGAGAGAAATATGTGTCAATCGGTGTACAGATTATCCCAAATCAGTGATTATACAAGACTTTTAAGATTTGAAACGAAATGACATGTTTTGAGCGCCAATGCATGCACTCGAAGAAAGTGAAACTCAATTCAGGTTTCGATACACTTATGTGTGTTATATGTATTAAAACACGATATGAACTGATCTCTCGTGTCTTAACCTCTTTCTTACACCAAATTACATGAATTTCTACTTTAGTTGCCATTCATTCATGAGTTCGCATAACTGTATAAACGATGCAAATGTTTAATAAAAAACTAACACATCATTTGAACTTAAATTCTTTGCAAAAAAAATCAATTACAATATTGAAAGGAGAGAGAGAGAGAGAGAGAGAGAGAGAGAGAGATTATTTTTAAATAGATTGTTACGAGGAATGTATTTATTGAGATATTTTTCGCAAATTTTCATTTATTATATTTTTCAATTAAAATTTATTGTTAAATCTGTTAACGTTTGTAATACAATATGCAATACCTGTGATCAGGTTATGTGTTAAACATCTGCAATACTATTTGATGCAAATAACAAAAACGCGGAAAATATTTTTTTAATCAAAAATTTGTTTGCTTTACAATTCCAGAGATTTAAATATTTAAATACAATTTATTTACTCAATTCGTAAACAATAATTTTTTTTGAACATTACATTGATTGTTGGTCTAAAAACTTGAAATTAAAATATTTCGATGTTTTAGCTATAATTTAAACAATTATTTATTGTAGACAATATATAAATTCAGACTAAACAAGTTGGTTTAATTGTAAACATAAATTTTTAAAAACAATAAAATCTGAATTCATTAACTGTAAAGCACTTGAATTTGTAAATCATTTTCCAAATAATTTATTCAAAACTATTTGCAAGTTTAAGGAATATTTCAAACTTTTCTAAACTATTTATACAAATGACCCACAATTTTGAGAGAGAGAGAGAGAGAGAGAGAGAGAGAGAGAGAACTTTCAATTGATACTGTTAGAAGTGATGTACAGCTCAGGTATATCTTGAACTCTAAAACTCGGAGCACATAATGAATGAAATGTTGTCTTAAGAGAGATTGCCTTAAGACACAAGATTTGTGCCACAAATGATTTAGTATTTGTAAATCATTTTCCAAATAATTTATTCAAAACTATTTGCAAGTTTAAGGAATATTTCAAACTTTTCTAAACTATTTATACAAATGACCCACAATTTTGAGAGAGAGAGAGAGAGAGAGAGAGAACTTTCAATTAATACTGTTAGAAGTGATGTACAGCTCAGGTATATCTTGAACTCTAAAACTCGGAGCACATAATGAATGAAATGTTGTCTTAAGAGAGATTGCCTTAAGACACAAGATTTGTGCCACAAATGATTTAGTATACTGTTAGAAGTGATGTACAGCTCAGGTATATCTTGAACTCTAAAACTCGGAGCACATAATGAATGAAATGTTGTCTTAAGAGAGATTGCCTTAAGACACAAGATTTGTGCCACAAATGATTTAGCAGTAAATGAAATGAGAGTGAAAGGGAAATGTATTATTAAAATGCGAGAGAGAGAGAGAGAGAATACAGTGGGTGCCCAATGTCAAAGTCATTAAGAGTTTTAATGTGTTTCTAAAATATAGAACTTTATTTAATATTGAAAACAAGAGTCCAATTAATGATAGCATCGATGGCTATAACAGATGTCTAAACGGAAAGATATGTCTCGTCGATAGACTATATAACGTAACATTAGTTAACAAAAAGTCATATAATTTATATTAAATGTGATTTTTATAAATTACATTTTCCCTAATAAACAATCAGAATATTCCGTTCACTTCACAAATATAAATAATTTTTAATATTATTTGACCTCATTTTACAAAACCATAAGCTATTATAAGAAGTGCTAAAATGAGAAAATGTTTTCACCCGGACTTCAAACAATAATAGCAACAATTCTACAATATTTTCTAATCTGGTTAATGTATTTCACTTTTGAATAACCTTGCTCTCTTTGAATCGTATTAGAAATTGCAAATAATTAAAAGAATTTCAATAAAAATACAACAATTAAATCACATTCTGTAGCAAAAGTTCATTGGAGTTGTCTTTTGATAATTATCACAATTTGTGAGCTAACAGTAAAATGTGATTTTCACACGTTTTATATAACAAAACTAATCATTTAATATTGAAAACAAGAGTCCAATTAATGATAGCATCGATGGCTATAACAGATGTCTAAACGGAAAGATATGTCTCGTCGATAGACTATATAACGTAACATTAGTTAACAAAAAGTCATATAATTTGTATTAAATGTGATTTTTATAAATTACATTTTCCCTAATAAACAATCAGAATATTCCGTTCACTTCACAAATATAAATAATTATTAATATTATTTGACCTCATTATACAAAACCATAAGCTATTATAAGAAGTGCTAAAATGAGAAAATGTTTTCGCCCGGACTTCAAACAATAATAGCAACAATTCTACAATATTTTCTAATCTGGTTAATGTATTGCACTTTTGAATAACCTTGCTCTCTTTGAATCGTATTAGAAATTGCAAATAATTAAAAGAATTTCAATAAAAAATACAACAATTAAATCACATTCTGTAGCAAAAGTTCATTGGAGTTGTCTTTTGATAATTATCACAATTTGTGAGCTAACAGTAAAATGTGATTTTCACACGTTTTATATAACAAAACTAATCACAGATTTATATCATTTAACAAAACCGTATTAATAAGAATGAGATATAAGAAAAAACAATAAAACATACTTTTGATTGCCCAGGGCTGCAGTTTTCTGAGTCCAAACAGTATCCTCACGGCATCGAAAGTGCAATCAGGACTCAGTGTAACCGTTGAACTCATTTGAATCAATTGCGGCATATATTGCTCGAAGAGCTCTTCCAGTTTAACCTTTGTCCTCTGCATAAAGTCCTCGAAGTAGTCCATGAATTCCGATGGATTCTGAGGCTCTTTAAACGATACTTCGTCGCCGTCTTCGTCGGTGTCGTCGCCATCGGATACCGATTCTGTCACTCCATCCGTCTCTTCGCTATCATTATTGCGGGAACCGTTCAAATCAAATGTCGTTGAATTATAGTCGTTGTAATCACTGTTTTCGCCAAATGTCGTGTTTGTATCAAACACTGCACTTTTGTCGTAGCCATCGATTCTGGCGGTTGTGGTTGTCGTGTCATTCTGTGCCTCATTTGCCACATAAACACAGAACCATATGATAAACACAATTAGTTGTTTAGTAGAGTTTATATTCATTTTGGTCTCATTTGTCTCATCTCTTCGTTACAAACAATATATAATGCAATTTAATGCAACTTTTCTTTTTTAAAACTTTTAATTACCAACAAAAGTACATAAAAATATGATTTAAAGTTGTGTTTAGACACACAGTCAAATCCCACTATATCTTGAAGTCTATTTTTAAACAATAACTAAAACAGTGATATATTTAATAAACATTTTGTTTCACTATTAATAAAAGTAAAAGTCATTTCACTTTTCACTACAAATGTGTTTCAGTAATAATAAGAAGTTTGTGCGGAATATTTTAAGTCACTTTTTCCCCACAACTGCCACAAAAGTTTTTGAGGTCATGCGCTCGTATTGCTCAGGCGATTACCTCTTTCTCTCATGATATGCCGCAATTGATTCAAATGAGTTCAACGGTTACACTGAGTCCTGATTGCACTTTCGATGCCGTGAGGATACTGTTTGGACTCAGAAAACTGCAGCCCTGGGCAATCAAAAGTATGTTTTATTGTTTTTTCTTATANGAGAGAGAGAGAGAGAGAGAGAGAGAGAGAGAGAGAGAGAGAGAGAGAGAGGTGCGCCATTCGGTCCAATCAGTTGATAAGTCAAATTGTTTTAAACACACTTAAAGTGTCGACAATTACAATATTATTACCGATTCTGAACACCAAATGTGTTTCACTTCATCATCACTTCAAAAATAGTGTTTTTCGTGTTTTCCAAACTATAGTTTTCTTTTAGCGATCACTTTAATACTTCATAATAAATCTTAATATTATATTAAAAGAGATTAATTTCACATAAAAAATCAATTAAATAATTCAAACAACTTATAATTTTTATTATAATAACCCTTTGAGGCAAATAGAGTTCATTTAAATCACAATTCATTTCGATTCTTAAATTCTTTATGTACTTAAGATTTATTGATTATATTTATGTTTATAGAATTTTTTACTTAATAATAAAAAAACTAATAAAATTATAAACAAAATTATTATAAAATTTAATCCATTAATAATAATAATAATATTACATTTAAATTCATTAAAACATTTTGAAAACAAAACAAAACACTTTATAACTCATTTCGATTGACAGAAAAACACAATTAAAACTTTATATGATATTTAGTTTTTTTAGTTGAATTAATAGCAAATGCTTTCTTATTGAAGTAGCGTTTTGTTCAATAGGTTTCTTACATTCTTGAACTGTTTTCTCTCCACTCTTTTCAAACACAATAATAAGAAATATTTTGAAAACTTTTGAGAAAATAATTTTTTTCGTTAAAAACTCCAAAATGTCAAACAAATAGTCAATTAAATAAGTTATTCAACTCTAGAAAAAATCAAACAAAACGGCACTCAATTGTCTTATCGTTTAAATCGATAGTTAATATAAATATTAGTAAAGTCAAAGTGAATGAGGAAAAGAGGACAGCCTTAGAGTCCACACAACAACACATAAGCACTTAAATGAATTGCATTTTCGGCCTTTTCTCCACCACTTTCTCACTCTTTACTAAAAATAATTAGATTAATAAATAATTAAATATTATATGTATTATAGAAAATACTACTGTATACATTTATGTTTGACATACATGTTTATAGGATAGATACCTATAAAATTTTTTAATTTTTGATCAATTAATTTATGAATAATACATAGCTTCGCAATGTAAAACACCAATAAACATTTTGTGTTAAACTATAAGAACATTTAACATTATATGAAAGCTTTACTTTCGATGCATTATTTATATAAACTAGTTTTAAACATAAAGCTTTCGGTTTAACTAAAACAACCTTAATTTAGTGAGATATGAAATTATTCATGAAAGATTTCATTCATAAATGTTTTTTGTGTATACTATTAGATAATATCTACCGTATACTACCGTAATGTATCATTAATAATGTCTAATATTTAATGATCAATATGAAAGTTATACAATTATAATTAGTACAGTATAATCAGTATATTATAGTATATGAGGATATTTTCTTTGTTACCATTATTTTCAATACACACAACACTTCCGTTTCTAATGAATGTTGTCATGTATTTATGTCATAACAAGTGTTTAAATTTCGCCATAAATTAAATGAATATTTGGCAAAACAATGGAAGAATATTCAGTCATTGAAACAGATTTTCTTAAATACAGTCATCCAAAGCGTAGACCAATAATCAATGGGAAATCATTAGACAATCAAATCAATGGTAAAATAATAGCAAATGATAAGGAAAGTGGTGTTGAAAACGGATCCACAGATTTGTTGCAGAAGGTATTGGATTCAATGTATGACATAAAGTATGGATTATATTTTCATTGAAGCTTTAATTTTAAGCATATTTTGTAAATTTTATGTCATTTATATCATATTTAGAGTAAACGAATCGCAAGACTTTGTATATGAATCGCACGCTTCAACAGTTCCGGCGACAAGAATTGATGTCCTGTCCCTTAAAGAACGATTAGATACCTCTTTACAGGACAATAGAGCCAGAGAGACGGGTTTCTGTCCAATTAGAAGGCAACTTTACAATCAATGCTTCGGTAAGAGAGAGAGAGAGAGAGAGAGAGAGAGAGAGAG